GACTCTAAGGGAGGGGATCAGTAGATAATCTGCTCAGGGCACTTGATGGATTGAAGGCTCATTTCACCTTTAGCACCTTTTGGTACCAGGCATCTGGAGTCTAAACAATGTCATCTTATACCCTACAGTACTCAGAATGTAGTCCTGCCCCACATCCCCACACCAGGCACCCCATAGAAACAAGCCTATGATAACACTTGCTTTTCTATCATCTTTCCATGGTCTGTCTCCAGGGTACTATCCAAGGAATTATGGAAAATCTGGCATGTTCATTATCAATGGGACCTAATAAATCACAATTTTTAATAAAAGGCAGTGCAATAATACACTAGTCTAGTGGGTCCATCTAAATAATCCCATGTTATCTAAAGATCTCATTTTAAGGTAAATCTTTAGCACAGACTGTAATAAGTCAAAATACAAGAGTGAGTTTTATTTTTAAAATATCATTTCTCTCCTATCATTATTCCTCTCCTGATATTAAATCCATCATATTTTTGATAAAATAAAAATGTTCTGTCTTGATAATACTAGGGATTTCACATTTTGGAACAGATATGGGAGGTTACCATATCATTGCAAAAGAAGACTCCATCTCATCATAGAGTTTAACTTCACACCTCTGGCCTTTTCTTCGGTCTGATGTTGTAAAGTATTTTGGCTCTCCAACCTTAGAAATTGAAGGAAATCATTATTCTTCATCTATAATAGTAGAAGTACCTAAATATTTGTTGATGGAAATACTCAGATGTTTACCCTTTAAACAGCAAGTAAGAAACATCAAAATACAAGAATCACTAATATATATTTAACTAGAGGCCCAGTGCACGAAATTTGCAGTCCAGGACACCTCGGAGGGATCAGTCCAGGACCCCTTGCTCCCTCTACCCACCTGATCGCTATTCCTTACAGCTTGGCTCACTGCTCCTTAGCGCTGCCACAGAGGTGGGAGAGGCTCCCACCACTGCAGCTGCGCTCGCCAGCCATGAGCTTGGCTTCTGGCTGAACAGGGCTCCCCCTGTGGGAGCCCGCTGACCATCAGGGGGCAGCTCCTGCGTTGAGCGTCTGCCCCCTGGTGGTCAGTGCGCATCATAGCGACCAGTCGTTCTGGTCGTTCCGCCATAATGATCGCTTAGGCTTTTATTATATAGAATTATATAGATGATTTAAAAGCATCTATCTCTAAGCTAGGTGTATTTAACTGATGTTGTTAGTTACACAGTTTGAAGAGAAGTACAAATATATGTATTTTAAGTTAATATTTTGGGGTCTTTTCAACATAACAGGACAAATGTTCCATGACAAGCCTATGGGTGGCATCAATCTAGGCTCATTGAGGATAGAAAGTATATTTTCAACATCTGTGTATCCCCCTGGCTTAGTACAGGGCCTGGCACAGAATTCATGTCACTAAATTAACTCAGTCTCTCTGAGTCTCAGTGTCCTCATCTTTCTAGTGCAGATATGAATATCAATACTTCCTTTGTGCCTTTATAAGGGCAATGTGGTGAGGACCAAATGAGGGGTGTATGGGAAAGTGCTTTGACACAGTCTGATTCAATCCACACTATGTCAAAGCACTTTCCCATACATCCTGCATTTCCATCTTAAAAATGTAGGTGAACTCAGGGACCCTTCTGTCAGAGGCCCAGGGGTTCTCACATGGAACAGCAGACACCTCTGACCGTCACATAGCAAGGTCCCAAGAACAGACTAACAACTGACTGCACCCTGAGCCACTGTCACCAGTGGAGGAAGGGGGAGATACATGGAAAAAGCTGTTGCAGGTTTTGACTTATGTTTATACTGAATGTTAGAAAATTCTTACTAAGTTGTAATATAATGACATTATATAGGATTGCAGGGAAACTGAGAGATCATATCCTGCTTTAAGTAAGATTGAATCTAAATTGCTGAGAAAGTGATTTCTCCTACTTTTCACGATTGTTATGTAAGGTGTTGATTCCTCCATCCTGAATTATATTGAGTGCTCACTGTGTGCCTGGCACTGTGCTAGGCTGGAACTAGAGTGATGAACAAAAGCACATGCCTCTCCATCAAGGGCCTGTCATCAAGTATAGTTGACACTCTTATTGGTTAGTCATTTAATACGGAAAAGCAATTAGCAATTACTAACAACATTAACTACAAGTACCTAAGTCAATTTCCTTTTGTGTGTGTGTATCTTTTGACTACCATCATTCCATACACTGAGAGAAACTGATCTTGTCCCTTTAATTTTCTTTGTGTACTTTATTTTTTTAAATATATTTTTATTGATTTCAGAGAGGAAGGAAGAGGGAGAGAGAGATAGAAACATCAATTATGAGAGAGAATCATTGTTGGCTTCCTCCTGCAAGCCCTCCACTGGGGATTGAGCCTACATCCCGGGCATGTGCCCTTGACCAGAATCGAACCTGGGACCTTGCAGTTCGCAGGCCGACGCTCTATCCACTGAGCCAAACTGGCTAGGGCATTGTGAAACTTTAATTTTAAGGTCCACCTCTTTAGTCCCTGCCAAGTGACTCTAGTCTTTCCAAGGGAGTTCAAAACTTGAGCAATAATTAAGTAAGAGGGAGATTCTGATGTAACAAATGGTGAAACACTCCCAGAGCCCCAAGCAGTGTTGTCTTTCCCTGCTTTTCACCACATGATGCTGTACAGTAGGTCACCAGGCCCTAACTACAGTTCAGTTGGCTATTCTCACTCCCTCTCAGGACAGCTCTGAAAACAGGCCCAGAATTGATTCCTTGATTTATACAACTTACACCCCTTTAAGTAACTTCATTGAAATCTTCAAGTCAATGAATTTACCCTTTCCATTTGCATCTTTAACCAAAGTATAAAAGGCTCTCATATAGTTAGTGGATCATTTATGAGTGTGTGCTGCACTTAACATTCAAATATGATTTTATGTTGCTATTCATCTACACTAATAAAAGAGAAAAATGGTAATTGGCGTACGACGCTACCCTTTTCATTGGCTAATCAGGGGGGGGTGCAAATTAACTGCCAACTCAGATGGCAGTTAACTGACAACAAAGAGGGCGGTTAATTTGCATATGTAGGCACAATGCGGGGAGGTGAAAGGGAAAGCAGGAAGAAGCCCCCTGCCACTGACAGTGATCGGAAACCCAGGGGGGAGCTAAGAGCCGGGGGGGGGCAGGGCAAAGGCGGCCCAGACCTCAGGCCTGGGCAAGGGGCCGATCCGGTGATCAGCGATCAGACGGTGATGAGGGTCAACTCCTCTGGCCGAGGCATCAGGCCTGGGCGGGGGGCGGAGCCAGCAATCGGAGGGGGCTGGGGGTCCCCTGCCCAGGGCTGATGCCTGGGCCAGAGGCATCAGGCCTGGGCTGGGGGCAGAACCAGTGATGGGGGACAATGAGGGTCCCCTGCCCAGGCCTGTCACCTCTGGCAGAGGCGTCAGGCCTGGGCCAGGGGCCGATCCTGCGATTGGAGATTGATGGGGGCCAACGCCTGAGGGCTCCCAGTATGTGAGAGGGGGCAGGCTGGGCTGAGGGACACTCCCCCCCCCCAACCCAGTGCACGAATTTAATGCACCGGGCCCCTAGTTCACATATAAAATGCTACTTAACTTTTAATGAGAAGTGATATCATTTTCTTAATTCAACTGACTACTGATCAAGATACAGAGGAATATTTACTCCACCTGGTTACTACTTTCCAAACACTAAGTGATAGAACTTCCCTGCCAAATTGAACTTTGTGGAGGTTTAAACTTACCGACTTCACAGCTGCAAGTACATTAATAATTCTCCCATCAAGGCTGTGTCCATTTGCAACAATATCACCCAATGAATAATAATCCCGAGATTCTTTAACAGGTAAGTGTATCAAAGAAAGTAACTTGGTGTCCACTTCATAACTGGAACAAACTTTTACTGTTGAATGATCTTCACTGAGCAATAGTTTACAGTCACTAAATTGTAAACACACACACAAAAAGTTACTATTAAATGATTTTTTTAAATAAAAAAATACTTCCAGGTTCACAGTTAAATTATTTTTATTGTAATTTAGACTAGATTAAGAAAATGTATACATTTTAATCATAGAAACATTAAAAATGTAGTAAAATATTTTTGTCTGAAATATATTTTCATTAAGAAAATGTTTTGAGGACCAATTTGTGCCTGAGTGCTAAGCATACCAGTTGTCTGACCTTACCCGAAACTCTAGCTTCAGTTTCCTTCTCTGTGAAATAAAGGTATAAAAGCACTCTACACCATGTTTGTTATCTGTATCTCTAAACATTGAGCACCCTGCCTACAGATTTTAAATCAAGGACTGTGCTTCACTTACTCCTGTGGTTCTCTGTATCAAGTAGATGCACAATATTAACAACTGAACTTGAATTGAGGCACTCCCCTTCCAGCCAATCAACTCCTAAGTCCCCTTCATGAAGTTAATTTCTAGCCCTCTAATGCAGGCCCTTTTCTCCCACTAATGCTTTAGGTATTTACCTCATTACTTCTCACCCAAACTTTGGCCCTGTCTCCCTCTACAGTATCCTCCTAAAGTAGCCAAAGTAATCTTCCTAATCCACACATTTCAGTGTATTATTTCCCATCTCAAAGACCTTTTGTGTAGCCATCAACAAAGAATAAAGTTGTTACAATGGGCAAAGCTGTCTGTGAAATGTTTCTGCTTCTCTATCAAGCTTTTCCTCTTGCCTCTCTCCTGCTCTTGCCCTATAGCAGCCATATCAGACTATTTAGCTATGAAACTGACATTTTTATTTTTATTTTTTTCTAAATATATTTTATTGATTTTTTACAGAGAGGAAGGGAGAGGAATAGAGAATTAGAAACATCGATGAGAGAGAAACATCGATCAGCTGCCTCCTGCACACCCCCTACTGGGGATGTGCATGCAACCTAGGTACATGCCCTTGACCGGAATCGAACCTGGGACCTTTCAGTCTGCAGGCCACGCTCTATCCACTGGGCCAAACTGGTTAGGGCGAAACTGACATTTTTAGACCAAAAAGTCAAACATCACCATTTTTATATGGTTCAACCTACTATTCACTGTTCTGGTAAATATCAGGTTTCATATTTGTTCCCTCTTCTAAGAATGCTCTTCCCTCCATTCATTCATTCATTCATTCATTCATTCATTCATTCATTCCATAAATATTTATTGTGAGCCTGTTCCGTGCCAGACCATACATAGTCTAGGCATGAGGGTGAAGAAGATAGATAAGACCTTTGATCTCATGGAGTTCACCTGTGTGAGGAGACATGCCATTTAATCAAATAATCTCAGATAGTGATTGGGGTTTTGATAACAAAACGCAAAGGGAGAAGTCCTAGTAATGAACTGGAAGGGCTACTACAGAGTAGATGGGAAAGGTCTAAGGAGGTGACATTCAAGCAGACACTTCAAAGAGGAGAAGGAGCAAGTGAGTCAGGGGGAGACTGGGCTCCACCTGAACCTGCCTCTTTGCTCAGCTTCCCACACCCGCCCCCTCCCCTCTTTCCTTACAAGGCTGCTCCTGAGAGCTCACCTTCAACAAACCATTTGCACAAAAATCCTCCAGGCTCTGCTTCCAGAGAACTTGAACTAAGATATTAAGGCATGTGAGTAGAGTTATACTTTGATATGAAAATATACATATGTGACTTTCAAGATTTATCTTTTCTTCTCATTGTTCAGCTTTAATGTGACTAGAATCAATTTTTTTAAAATCTAAGAATGAAAATCAAAGTATTGAAAACAAAGTCATTTTTTCATGTGACCCCAGTGGGGACCCCCACCCTGAAGGGTGTGTGACCAGCTGCAAACAGCCCTCAGCCCCTCACCCAGACTGGCCAGCACCCCAGTGGGGACCCCAACCCTGAAGGGTGTGTGACCAGCTGCAAACAGCCATCATCCCCTCACCCAGGTTGGCCAAGCACCCCAGTGGGGACCCCCACACTGATCCGTGTGTGACCAGCTGCAAACAGCCATCATCCCCTCACCCAGGCTGGCCAGGCCCCCCAGTGGGGACCCCCACCCTGATCCAGGACAC